AACTTCAACAATACGTCTCTCTCTGACCGCAGTTCAATTAATCATTACCCACACACACACATTATTGCGTCACGTTGTCACCCTCTTATATATACCAGACTACCCTATCTAGTAAATGCTAGGGCATTCGTGAAGGAACAAGATAGCTCTAGAAACTAGAGGGCGTGAGAATAGTCACGTGATCTCGATGACGCAACAATATTTATCTAGCAAAATATTCGTTACAATTTCTCAATATGTGTTTTTAATATAGTGTTATGGTTGTTAACTCAGTAGATGGCGTAGGCGAAACAAACTTCATAAAATGGCAGCAACCGGTACTTTAGTTTTACGAGGAACGAGTTTAATTGGCCGTAGAGGTGTTCCAAAAGTAATTTTTTTAGAATTTCTTAAAAGAGCAAGTTCAAGATGTTTTTACGTGAGTAATGATAATACTCCTCATTTAGTAAATCAAAATATTGGAAATACAATGAACAGTAAAACATGGAAGTGAACTTTCTAAAAGTAAAACTAAAAGTTCCTTTACAATTATACTTGAGAGTTACTTGACTTAGTTTTACACGTTTTACTTTTACTACACTACTAATATATACTATTCTCAGTCTTAATTAATTAATACTAATATTAAAAGTAATTAATTACATAAATTACAACTGTTTGGTAGGAGACAAACGTAAGTTTTCGACTTGTATAACTTTAAAATGTTGTAACTTTCATATAAATTTGTGTGTGTATGCTAATAAATCATAAATGTTATATAATGTAGATATGTTTTCCTAACATAACTCGCATCATTGCAGAGTTTTCTCAAGGGGAGGTATACACGAAGATTCTTGAAGGCTCAATTCAGACAAATTGTAAATAATGGTCAGAATTATTTTAAAAAGCTGGCTGCAAGCACAACATTTATGAAAAACAACAGTACAGTAATCATTGATTAATGAGTCTTTTTGGGGTAGCTTATTGCACATTATTCTCACATATCTTTTATGGAGATATCCCAAGTTTATAATAGCAACTTAAAATAGTGTGTTCAAGCAATATTTCAGTTTTTCATTTGTTATAACTTTAATTTCATATTAGGAAATGTAATGTTTTAAACAAATATAGATATAAAATACTATAGGATATAAAACTATGAAATCTAAAACATGATGTTAACTATCAATTCACAGGCTAGCCAGTTATATTTGTTAAGGGCACTTATGATTTATGAGTGTTTATAGAATTTGTAAGAAGTTTATAAAGTCAAATATGGTCCTGAGAGCAGTAACACTTTTGGCATCTGGGCCTACTATTCAGATACATAGGAGAAATAATAATATCAAAAAGTTTCAGTAGTAGATTTCTTGTATTAAGAAAGCTTAATGCCAGTGGAGGTTATTTATAAGACTTCAAACATAAAACTTCTTTAGACATATTACTGTATTTGCATTTTTGGAAATTGATTGTGTCATGTTAAGGTTTTAACTCTTTCAGCATGGGCTTGGTCCCTGGGACCGACCTTGTAACCATTTTGTGCTTGTTATAGGTTTCATGCTATAACTTTTAAATTAGTAAGAGTATGTTAATGAAATTTGGCAGATTATCAGTAAACATTAAGATTCTTTCATATGCAAAATCTTTATAATGCCCAGATAGTTATCAAATGTTTCTTTAGAAAAAACTATTTTATCTGTTATTTTCACTAACGAATCTCTGTACGAGTTTGGTAGCTTTTACTTATCTTGTAACCACCATAAAAAAATTAGGAAATAAATATGAATTATACCTCT